ACCAGGATCGTAGTACCACGCTTAGAATTTCGGGTTGAACCTTAACCTGCTGTACCTTCGGATATTAGCCGCTTATTTATGGCTACTGTATACTTTCTTCATTGGAGATAAATGTTCTAGCTAAGGTTAGAGTAACACCCGGCCAAAAGAAGAAATTGGCTGTGCATAACTAACCAGTGTGTGTGGTATTATAGCCTACTACTTATATTCACGAATAAGGTTTCCTAAGATACTCCAATACTCAAATACTCCATCAGTAAAATAGCCTCGATATATTCGAGACGCTTTTGGACTTGAATAACGACGAAATTGGAAGCTGGATTCCACAGGGTTCGAAACAAACATATCATAAATTATGTAATGCCTAACAACAGATTCATGAATATAGCTACAAAAGATGTTAGTTATGTCCATAACTAACCAATCACATCGTTTTTTAAGCGACCACCACGTTGATATGTTCTGATGTGTCTGTAATCTATCCCCGTTGCGTGTGACCTACCAATTGAAAGACATTACTATCCTATCATATCAATGGGACCCATAATTTTACTCATTGTTATAAGACACGTAATACTGGTTGATATTTTTGTGCGTTTCACTTAATGACTGTAATTTCCTTAATTATTGTACTAATCTAATTGTTTTTACGTTCAGAAACAGATAAAGTTTAAAGCCAAGTTGTCCTTGTTCTAACTATAGATTTCACATTGACTCTGTGCTCGCCAGTATCGCGTCTACGGTTCTAGTAGTATATCTGTAGGACAAATTAAATCTTATAAAGTTTCAACCAGTATATTCGATATACCTACTGAAATGACTGCCAATAAGTACTACGATTCCAATGAGATTTCAGAATTATCACCCCACCATCTGGGAGTTTATGATGAGATTCGAAATTCACTATCGATTATACCATACGTAAAATATTATGTATCATGTCTACCGACGAATTAATCCCTTCAAATTTTCATTCTGTGAGCTAGTTCTGGCTGTCGGTTTTTCCTTATCCTAATCCTGTGTTATTATTCATTATGAGTGAGTGTTTTCGCTAGTAAATGCCTGTCGTAGGCTCACTTCTTGCAGCTATTGCTCTTCCCAGATTTTCTAACACTTGTTACATACTTGACAATCCATTAAACCCACAGCACAAGGACATGTCCATGTGACTCCCCAAAAGTCTAATTCTTGGGCCATGGTAAGGTAACAAACATTCTTTCAGCCTCAACGTATTGCTTCTGTCTTTTTGGTGTGTGCTTCGGTATTGTTATTATTAATGGCTTTATTCAATGGTATATTTTGGTTGAGTCTGCAAATCGTCACTTGTGAACGACGATACGATGCATGTAACCAAGTCTAGATAGACAACGACCTGCTCTCCCGTCATCCCTGTATGTTGTGTTGCCCGACAGCACGTGTTCTTGTGTAGTTAATACCATATTTGTGGATTTCTGGTTTCTCATTAGTTGGAAGTGTTTCCTTTGAGATGATCTGTCATGCATAATAGGGACCTATTTAGTATATTTGAGGAAGTTCTATATACACAGTCTTCTCTAGCACTTCTTCCTCTATTGAATTTGCGTTTTCTAAAGACTTTGGGTGAGAAAGTACGCCGTTGCACTAAACCATGCAACTTTAGGACAAACTACCCAAACCATCAGGGAAACGAAGCGGCCAGACAGTAATGGCGGCAGCTGTTACTGGCCAACACGTTGGCCGACTCTTTCACATCAGGGATCGTATTTCTGGCTCGGACGTTTTAGTCGATACTGGAGCAGAAATCAGCGTCATCCCACTCCATCTCTCCCGAAGACAACAGATAACAAAAACTAGACTGTCCCTAATAGCGGCTAACGAATCAATTATAAAAACGTACGGTGAACAATCACTTATATTAGACCTCGGACTTCACAGAAGATTTACATGGGTTTTCATAGTTGCTCATGTCAAACGACCCATCCTCGGAGCCGATTTCCTCAGTGCGTGACCAAGAAGAGATTAATCGACGCAAATACACGTTTGCAGGTAGATGGTACACCTTCCAACGACTATGAAATCCATGGTGCACGAATAATGAAACCTGCGAACAACGTTTTCAACGACATACTGACAGAATACAAATGCATCACGAAAATAAATTATCAAAGAGAATGCGATCCACACCATGTGCAGCACCACATCACTACCACCGGACCACCCATTCGCTCCAGAGCGAGGAGACTACCACCAACAAAGTTGCAGACAGCTAAGAGAGAATTTAAACACATGATGCAACTTGGTATCATCAGACCATCTAATAGTCCTTGGGCCTCGCCGTTACATATGGTACCAAAGAAAGACCAAGATTGGCGTCCGTGTGGCGACTACCGCCGTCTGAATAATCAAACAATCCCTGATAAGTACCCTATGCATCATATACATGACTTCTCGTTAAACTTACACGGCAAATGCATTTTCTCAAAACTTGACCTTGTGCGCGCATATCATCAAATTCCGATGGCACCAGAAGACGTCGAGAAAATAACCATCATCACACCCTTTGGTCTGTTTGAGTTTCTAAGAATGCCTTTCGGATTGAAAAATGGGGCCTAGACATTTTAACGATTCATGGATGATGTTACAATAGGCTTAGATTTCGCATTCGCCTACATAGACGACGTTTTGATCGCAAGCTCATCAATAAAAGAGCACGCCCAGTATGTTCAGATCCTCTTTGAACGTTTTAAGAAACATGGCGTTGTTATCAATCCTTCTAAATTTATATTCGCCATCCCAGCCTTAGAGTTCCTGGGACATCACATTGATTCCCAAGGAATTAAACCGCTTGAAGAAAAACTCGAAGCCATAGTCAACTTTCCCGAACCCAAGTCGATAAAGACATTACGCCGGTTCCTGGGGATGTGCAATTTTTACCGACGTTTTCTCCCTGGCTGTGCGGCCATTTTTCAACCTTTGATGGACTTACTGAAGATGGATAAAACCGCAGCTCAGACCAAAAAAGAGAATACCTTCACGTTAACGCCCGAGGCCAGAGAGGCTTTCGCTAAAACGACATTGTTGATATCCAGTGCTACAGCATCTAAACACCGACCCCACAAAGCACCTTATCCTCTGCACTGACGCCTCCCAGAAAGCAGTAAGAGCAGTATTACAGCAATGCATAAACAACAAGGTTACTCCTATATCGTTCTTTTCCAGACGATTATCGCCGACTCAAGAGCGTTATAGCACCTTCGAACGTGAACTTCTGGCTATGTATTTAGCTGTAAAACATTTCAACTTCCTGCTACAAGGCCGTAATTTCTCTATTATGACTGATCATAAACCCCTTTGCTATTCCTTTAACATGTCTTACGACCACCATTCCCCACGGGAAGCCAGACAACTGTATTATATTTCTCAATTCACCACGGACATCCAGTTTATCGAAGGCTCCTTCAACATTGTCGCAAATACTTTATCTAGAAAGGATATCAACATGATGGTACACAACCACAACATCAACCTCGAAGCTTTAGCTAAACTACAAGTGGACAATGCAGATTTGAAGGCCTGCAAAGAGAGGTCTAACTTGAATCTTAAACCTGTACCCATTCCTTTCTCAGATGCATCTAGCATTTGCGACACTTCAACGGGTAATAATCGCCCTTTCGTGCCACAACCCTGTCGTCAAAAAATATTTTAACAGCTACATGGACTGTCGCATCCAGGCATCAAACCTTTGTTTGGCCAAAAATCAATTCGGATGTTAAACGTTGGACACGTGGCTGCTTACAGTACCAACGCAGCAAAATTCAAAAACACACTATCAGCCCGATCTGGGAATTCCCTATTCCCGACAAACGTTTTCAACATATTCATTTGGACTTAGTTGGGCCACTGCCTCCGTCCAATTCCTTTTCCCACATTCTCACCGCAGAAGACAGGTTTACTAGATGGGCCATAGCCTGCCCCATGAAAGACACTTCGGCAGAAACAGTCGCGTCAGTCTTCTTCTACCGCTGGATATCTAGCTATGGAGTACCATCAATAATCACAACAGATCGTGGTCCCCAATTTCAGTCTGTCCTTTTCCAGGAGTTCACTAAACTTCTGGGTGTGAACCACATTAAAACCACAGCTTACCACCCAGCAGCTAATGGCATGGTTAAAAGATTCCATCGCCAATTAAAAAGCTCACTGATGGCGCAAGCTGACTCATCATAGTGGAGCGATGTCTTGACGCGTGTACTCCTCGGTATTCATTCGACCATAAAGGAAGACATTGGATGTACAGCCGCCGAGTTAGTCTGTGGTACAACTCTAACGTTACCCGGTCAACTAGTCAACTATTAACCTACAACGCCAGGGATTCTACTCACTTCGCAAGTCGCCTATTACAAACGATGCAGAATATTAAAGCAATATCCCCTCGCGAACACAACTATCGAGTCCAACTTGATAAAAACCTTGAAACGTGCAAATTTATCTTCGTCCGAGTAGATGCGGTTAAAAAACCATTGAAACAACCATACGAAGGCCCATATAAAGTAATAAAACGCACACAAAAATACTTCATCATCAACAGTGATGGCAACAAGCAGAACATTCCTATAGACAGAATAAAACCTGCTTTCTATGAAGCTACCCAAGTCAAAGAAGATAACGCTGTTGACAATCAACCCCTCCCACCAGTGACTGAAAAACCAATGGAGGATAAAAAACTTAATATTAGCTTTCTTGTTTAACACGCTCCGGTAGACTTATAAACAAACCCAAGTGTTATGTCCATTCCATCAATTAAAGAAAAAAAACAAAAGCAAACACCTACCGATGTCCCACACTACTAATTTCACCCAAAACGTTTTCTTTTCACAGTGTACATAATCAATCATTTTTTTTCCACAATTATTCGTTTTGTCACATTTTTTTTTCAAAAAAATTTGTGACAATAATAAACGAGTAAACTACATTTAATTATTCATTTATTGTACACAAAAATAAACAGTTCATTTTTTTATGGGTGGTCATTAACAATTTTGTACATTATTATCATTGTTAGCCAAACAAGACATTAAATGACAGTATTTTCTTCTTTTTTTGTGTTCATTATGCTATACTACATCATTGCTATTCTCAAACGATAACACACTGCATCTTACTAATGTATATGTCATATCCATTTCAACAACTTTTGTTGGTTATAACTGTAAATATTATTTTTGTATATAAGTATATATCATATTCTTACAATGTTTCCAGTTTATTATATAACTTAGTGAATAAGTAGATTTCGTTGACTTCAGTTCCAAATATCTAATTGATACTAAGTAATAAAATATAATGAACCTAGTATTGTTAAGACAACCCATTGAACTAGTCACATTCTACAACTTCATTTTCATATCATGAGTTTTATAACGATTACACAGATAAGACAGTATAAATAACTCTTTATCTTTCATATCGCGGATAGTCCCAACGAGAGTATACTAGAAATAAATTTAGTTATCAGAAATTCATTCAATAGAATATAGATAATTGATACTATATACATTTAAAAAGTGATTGAGATTTTTATGGTTAAGCAAAGTTTTCGATTTACAATAGAGACAATGACGGATATCGTATGTTTGTATTGATGTCTAATTTGTATGTATGTATGCATGTATAAATCAGAGTGGTAACTGTAAGATCAATGAAAATACAGAAGACAACTGAAAAAGAATATGATAGATTGCACGATTTTGCCTAGTTATACTCCATTTCCGTGGTTTATTTACTAAAAACCATATATAATTGTTAAACTATTTGACACCTGGCTAGTGGTAGGTGAGAGAACTAAGTTTCCCCTTAGTTTCATTTTATGTTATCAAATTATTTAATTGGAAGCGTATTTCTAGTTGGTCCGGGGCAATGTCTATGATATAAGTGTAAATCATCCATTACACCATAACGACAAGGTGGTAAGATGTAAGAACCATTCAGTGGTAATGGGATTCTGTAAAACAAAGAAAATAGTGAATATCACAGCACATGAACAGCGTAAACTTGATGTATTTTTTCTAGAAAGTTATGTAACTATGTTTCTGTTTGAAGAAATTAGACACCTTTATTATCATCATTATTATTTTACAGGCTCCATATTAAAATTGTAAGTAGCATCACAAGGCTATCGTGAAACCAAGTCATATTCTAAGGTGACCTTGTTTACTATTCAATGGTTAAACATCATTGACAAAAACACCCACATAATCCGATTCTTTGTCAAGTTCTACGGAGTTTAATCAGTTTGTTTAGCATTTATGCAAGCATACAAATACTCAAATATATATAATTGACAACTAATCGTCAATTTGTACATAAAATGATGAAGAAATGCTACTACTTCCTAAACCGGACAGTTAGCCATATGATTTCTACCAATACACTTAATAATTCCAAAATTGCAGTCAATATCACGTTTGTCAGATCTATAGCTCTGATTAAATTTTACAGACCAATCTGTAATTTTATCACCAGTTTGGGAGTGTTCTTTGTTTTAATTAATGATGATCAGAGGAAATTGGTACGATGAGATGGGTTTAGTTTTCATGATAGTTGACTTTCACAAACAAGGAATATCTACAGTCTTAAAGAAATTGATTTACAACCATTATCGCTAAGCTATTCGAGCCACATCCCATCTTTAAATGCATGGCATAATAGGCTATAGAACAATAATATGGAGAGTTCACTTTAATTGATACGTTCAACCTTATTGATGACAAAAACCAATTTACTGCAAAAGAATACTTACTCTTCAGCTGTGAATTGACGTTTCCCTTCCAACAATTCAAAACATCGTTTATCATTCGGTTGACATACACATGCACAATCTGAAAATGTGTGCATAATAAATTTCAGTGGAGCAATACATAGTCGATTACTGCAGCTATATATTTTTTTTATTATAATCCAATTGTAGGGTATATGAGAAAAATTAAAAAAAATATTTGAAAGTTAATGAAGTTGATAAAGTAGATGTACTGTCCATTATATCATATTAGAAAAATAGACTGTCAATCGAATATTTAGCTTGATCTTAATATTGAACTAATAATCTTTCATCACATTTCTGAATAGTTAATATTATCTGATTTTAATAGAAGAAATAATCTGGCACCGAAGCGTTTATTGATAAGAGTTCCATTTGGTTCACAAATTCATGTGTCCATGGAGCAAGGTTTTCTAAACTCTTAGTCTGCTTTTTAAATCAAAGACTTTTAACTTGGAAAAGTAATATGAATAACCGTCATCTTCCCACTCACTATCTATACCTAATAGGCATGTTTAAACGCCAAATAACTAAAAAGATAGATGAAACCATCATTATTGTTTTCATAATAACCTAACAGGAATAGAGATTCTGCATTTATTAGTTTTACACATCTCTTTTAACATACAGTTGTATTACGAAGTTACACATATCAAGACTTGATATAAACAAAATGTGATTTTGTTAGTAAACACCAGTTAATGTCTTTGATAACATGATAAGCTGTGCAACTGAATATTAGTAAGTAAACTCAAAGCTGGATATAAACTTATTCCAAAATGAGGATGCCTTCCTCTTTCTAAATTTGTTATATTTCTATGGTATTTGTACGAATGAATGATTCTTTTGTAGTGGATTGCCTGTTGATTACGAGTTCTGAGTACAATACATTCATTTGTGTACGTCTAGTTCTACACACAGTAAATGACACTATTTCAGGAATTCCTAGTTGGTACAATAATTTGAATAATTCTAATCATTATAATCTCTTTTTATTTCAGTCTGCTAAGTTTATCTGACAAACAGGATCATAATTTAAGTTCATTAATACTGTTTTATTCTAAACATAGTTCTAAACAGTTGGTCTTAACCTTAAAAGTAATATGAACATAGTCGACAATTTGTTTTTTCAATATCAATAAACACTTTAAAATGACAGATATATTATGTAATTGTGATGATTATAAGTATTTGAATTATAGCACAAATTAAGAATTCCAAAAATAATGCAATTTAACCAAGAAGTATTAGATGAACACGAATGAATTGTATTGTATTTGGAATTCAGAATCAAGCAGTTAACAAGTACAAAAGAATCATTAGTTCATTCAAACACAACAGTAATTCAAAAATGAATTCATTTGATGTTGTTAGATTATCCGAATTAAAAGATTTAATTATGAAGTTACTATTTGACATTTTGTACTTTATCATTGATGTTTACTTCTAGTTGACGAACAATAAAACTTTTACAATAACATCGAATGAACAAAAAATATTCTGTGGATTCTCCACAACTGCTTACAACCGAAAACCCATCGTATCGATCATTAAAAATAAACAAGTATACATACTTTATATTGAAAACGTCTAGAATAAATTGAGTCAATTATTTGGAAATAGAAATAATAATACACAGGAATTTACATTGTTGTCCACATGTTGACTTAATTTATTCTAAATGTTTCCGATATAATGGATGTACACTTGTTTATTTTTAATGATCAATACGATGGTTTTTAGGTTGTAAGTAGCTGTGGCGAATCCAGAGGATAATTGGATTCATATTATTGTGTTACAATATTTGTTCCTTCTTCTTATTTAAGTTTATAAATGAAAAAAGTTTGTATCAAACAAACAGTAGATTCAGTAAATAATTAAACGTATTTCAAGGCTATCTTGAACATAGACAACACTTCAACACAACATTATATTTATCAGTATTTTATTATATAGTGGAATTATAGTTAAAATAAGTCCTGGGTTCGAATCCCATGAGACAGAATCGTGGATGCGCACTGTTAAGGCGTCCCACAATAAGACGAACTGGCCATGCAGTGCTTCCAGGTTTTCCATGGTGGTCTAACTTCCATCAACTCATGATCTTGACTATTAAATTGAAATATAAGAATGAAAAATAACACAAATCATTAGTTTACGTATTCTTTTACATCTGAATTGATGAATATGAAGTAGTGAGCAAATTTTTCTTTCACTAAATAAGTCAGTTGTAATTGTTGATTAGTAAAGGGAAAGTTTACTTTGTAAATTCTAATAATTGTACACTTGTGACTTGTCATAAAATGAATCCTGGAGATTTATGTAGAGATCTACCTCTTAATTAATCAAATATAGTTAGATCTAGTGATTAGTACCATTTATTACCCTTAACCATTAAATAGATTTACAGATAACTCAATCTAAGAATATTCAGCAAATTAGTAGTTTTAGTAAATTTCATATAAAATCCCTATTTATAAAGTGCTCGATTACTGAATTCAAAAATTAGTCACATTAAATCATATATATATATATATATATATATATATCTGTTTTCCAGTAAACAAATGAACTAAACTACTACTTATGGAAATACGGCGAATAATATGATATGTAAACCTCGAATATTCTGTGTCAGTCTGGGTTTAGTAGCTATCCTTTTTCTAGCTGTCAATCGGTGATAGTTGTAGTTTCCGTAAACATTTTACTGTTACCTCGAAGTACTCATGTTTTTTCTTGTCACTAGCAATTTTGACAGTCACGGTGTTGTCAACTACGAATTCCTTCGTGAATATCATCCTCTGCGTGAAGATACTTAAGGGATTATAGGAGTTAGTGAAACGAAACTTATGTAATGAACGGTTGCTGAGTCATGTTATTCTTCTTGTAGATTCAACAGGGAATATCTATGTAGGACACATTCATCAATCTAGATCGCCCTACGTACTCAAGAAACATAGTCCTTTGTGGTTTCCTCTTGTTTCTAAAATAATTAATTCTTGTATACGAGTGATACTGACACAATATAAAGACACTTATGTGTTAAACATGAAGACAAATGAAAAGTATGACTTGTCAGAACTTTCATGGATATTCTTAACAAAGGAAATGAATACAGGATAAGACTTTTCATAAATGAGAGCATTTTGTAACGGATTAGACTGGTATATTCTTAATTTAATAAAATCAAGTTGGTATAAACTCAATCCTAATATTTCTTAGACAGATTAATGTAGATGTTTAATTTTTGTTAACTGAATTTATTTTATATAATGAAACTAACCGTGGTTGACATCCACACTGTAAATGATTTGTTAATGCAATCAGTTCGGTTGAATGAGTGAAATTTCCAAACGGTACAATCTAAAAAAAATTTTTAAGAGGAAGACATTGAATTAAAAATGTTTTATTTGAAGTCAATCAATCAATAAAACTTCAATATAACAAGAACTAAATTAGTATATTGAAAACTGCTAATCTGTGTTAGTCGTTACCAGCTAAATGAATATGCAATCGTGGAAAACATCCTGGATTCAAATTCACGTCTTACAAGAGCTCGAATGAAGACATTGCTTAGTTATTGATGATATGGTCAGAAATTCTCCCTAAAATATATATAACAGAAATATTCACCGTTCAGAGTTACCAAAACGTTATAATATGGATTATAAATGATAGGTCTGTAGTATATAAAAATAGACGTCATTGAACGACAATCACACACCATACATACATCCCTTATTTTAGTCAATAACTGGCATCTAGTAGACTAGTAAATACCCGGCTGATTCGCGCCCTGAAACATTTCATTTCTTGACGAATATGAAGTGACTGCTTTATTAAAATTAGACGTTTGTTAGTAAATTTTATTGTTTTCATTTCTTGATAGATGCAGAAAACTATAGAAATCCAAACTAAGGACTCTTTAATCACTTCAGAAATACATATTTATGTACAAGTATTTTACTATGCAAAGAAAAGGATACGATTTATCAGTAATCATAACAATGAGACAAGATTACTGATTAAAAATTAGTAATGGTGATTTATTGCTACTGGTTGTTTGAATATCCTGATTTATGTTTAGGATTGTAATTGATCAGTCTCTTTTGGGACATGTACATTCTGTATGGTTTATCTCAATATTGACTAAAGTCACAAGTATTATGATCAGAGATAAATGGTGGCTAGCAATGGAATACAGGACACACGTCCCGTCCTATTTGTGACTGATCCATAGTTTGTGTTTACTTCAACACTAGTAATTTCTTTATTGGCTTAACCTTACTCATAAGTAGTATGATTATATAATTTGAAAACTAACAAGCTAAGGTTTTGAAGTATAAGTTTGGTAGATAGGAATGGAACAAAAAATATGAGGATCAATCGCTGTTCTTACTTGCATCACAGCAACTGCAAATGTTTTTAATGAAACCTTTATAGGTAAACATTCTTCTTCAAGTGTTTCACAATTACAAGATGTATACTGATTTCGATCATTTAATATATCTAAATATTGGTCATCATAATTTACATGACTATTAGATGATGATGAAAGCGGTGTGAATTCTGATCGCTCATAATCATATTCTTCATCATAATTTGAAAATGAATTTGTATAATGATTACAACGTGAAATTTCTTGTTGACCACATCTTTGAATGTGTATACCACGTGGTATGATAAGAGCTGTATGATGATGATGATGGTCATGATTTGGTTCTTGGTGTTGTTGCTGGTGATCATGATTAAGACGAAGAAGTGCTTCTGTACATAATGTTCGATTCTGTGGTTGACAAGATATCATTTTGAATTCTTGATAATTTTCAAAAGCTCGTCTTAATTCATCTTCTGAATCTGCAGAATAAATATATAGTTGAATTTTAACTATTATTGACAGGAATAATTTATTCTTATGAAAAATGATCTTAGATTAGTTATTCCAAGTGATAAGATCGATCTTAGTAATTGTTAACAGTTTTTAGTTACCATGTCTACATTTCTATAAATAGTCGTTGAAAATTGAACGAACAGTTTGACAGAAGCTCGATCTAGTTTGCTTAACAAAATGTTGAAATTATTTGAAATTTTAATATAACTTGGAGCATTTCAAATATGATTTTGATTTATTTTGTCATGTTTCAAATTTTTAACAAGAATTCAACCAGGAAAATAGTAAGATATACTGGTTAATGTTAATATATTTATATGAATGTTACAGAATTAGAAGTTTGTGCAACATATCTAACCTCTTTATTCATCATAAAGATGATGTTTTTGATGAAAAGTTAAATGAAAACAAAACCTAAAGTCTCTAATTCTACTCCAGATGACTCGATAGTTAATTATATTTTATACAGGAAGAATTTAGGTCATCCGTATCTTTTAAATTAAACTGAGAGTTTCTATCATAGAAAGCCTCATTTGATAATGAGATTTATATCTCTATTTGATGGAAATGACATAGATAGGAACTTAATGAAATCGTTTTACTAACAACTATATAATTGATTAGAATTTAATTTGAAAATACAATTCAAGGTGTTTTAAAGCTATCTACCAGATCCTAAAGCACTCAAAGGTTTAATCGTACAATACCATAGTGCTGTTTAAATTATCCTAACTAGATTACCTTATTAAGGCTTTTTATGCATGTTTTAAAAAAACTAATACCATAATTTAGTTCAGAGCATTGTCAAAGAACATAGTGAATACAAGAATCAAAGATATTCATGGTAAGCAATTCACTGCTTGTGTAGTTGACCAATAAATAATGTAATTTAATAGCTTGTTTTTTTAAACAAATAAACTATTTCACAGATTGGAATCATGAGTCAATTAAAGCTAGACCACCATGGGAAACCTGGAAGCATTAGACGGCCGTTTCGTCCTAGTATGGGACTCCTCAGCAGTGCGCATCTACGATCCCGCGCCTCGCGAGGTTCGAATCCAGGACCTATCAGTCTCTCGCGCGAGCGCGCCCAACCAACTAGACCACTGAGCCAGCATCCAATGGTGTTAATATCTAACTTCAACCAATCCACGAAGTTGCGCCACCGTATACCATTGTCTTCAGTGAACTGATATCTCACAACAGACTTGGTTGAACTCCACTGGTAACGGCTTCTCACTAGAACTCCAGGAATATCTCTTGAAGTCAGTCACTAGTGAGCAGATGATTATTATCAAAAGGGGTCCTGGGTTCGAATCTCGCGGGATTCGGGATCGTAGATGTGTACCGCTGGGGAGTCCCATACTAGGACGAAACGGCCGTCCAGTGCTTCCAGGTTTCCCATGGTGGTCTAGCTTTAATTGACTCATGATTTCAATCTGTGAAATTTCTAAAATCTTCACAAACCCCTTCTGAAAATAAACGATTGATTATTTAAAAATATTTGAATATTTGATTGAACTGGTGACTAGTTTTGGAATTGAACATGGTTAAACCCAATGAAACAAGTACTGTAACGTATATAGCCAAGGTAATCCGTTGTAGAAATCAAAAAAGCATACAGAACATAGAAACTAGACAGAGTCAGTCATGAAATTTAGCATTTAAAATACTTTTATTACTTAAATCATGGCTTGTTTGACGTCAGAAATGCATTTTTCTCTAATTACGTTATCACTAATCAATGATACATTCAGTGGTATAGAAAAATGAAAATATACTTTTTATCAGAGATTATTTCACCTCTGATTTAGAAAACTATTCGACGTATTTGTATAGCTATTATAAAGCTATCACATTTCATTTAATCGTTTATATAAAATCAGCAATAGTTGATCAAACTTCGCGTAATGAAACAATATAATATGAATTTCACTGATTGAAATCATGGGTCAATTGAAGCTCGACAACCATGGAAAACCTGGAAGCACTGGACGGCCGTTTCGTCCTAGTATGGGACTCCTCAGCACAAAACCCCTTCTGATAATAATATGAATTGCTTCTTAAGATAACTTCCGAAATACATTCATACTGGGTTGCAAACAATAAAGTAATATGATACATTAATTAATTTCTTGTAGAGATAATGTTTTCATGGTGTCTTCACTATGTTAAGTAACTGGAAATTATTGTATACAACTTTCAGACTTAAATGGTAAGGAGCTATAAGCAAAAAAATCGTTTGGTGGAATTTATCACTAAGGTGTATGCGTAACCTGGGTGAGATCGACATAATTTTCTGAGACTCACATAGATAATCTGACGTAATTGTAGGAAATATGACTACTATGAGGTAGTGACATCGAATCCTAGGTAACTCAAATTTAAACTTCGATACTTAAATACTACATTCCTCAAAATGATAGCATTTGTCTTAGACTTCGTGATATATAAGTGAAGTCCCTAGTTATAAATAGGCTATGATATCCCTAATCACTTAACTGTTATTTCATACAATAGATTTTACATCAGTAACCATATAAGTCAAAACTGTTGAACCATACAGATTATAAACGGGTAGAAATGAAACTATTACCATTATTATTATCATCATCATCAAGACATGACTTACATAACTCTTCATTGGGATATCCCCCAGAATCGATTTTCACTTCATCAGATTGTAAATCTTTTGATAATTGTTCATTAGTTTTACTCAAAATATGTGAAAATTCTGTTGCTAAATTTATTTTCAATGGACTTTGTTTATTATTATTACTACTTTCAGGTACAATTGCACGACCTTCACGATTACTTATCTTTCGTAGTCGTAAACTATCCGCAAATATTCCTCCACCAATTCCACCAGAAAATTGTATATCATTTAAATTTGAAGATGATAATGATTCTTGAATTTTTTGTCGTTCTATTGTCTTTTCATTATATTCCCCTTTATTATTAATACTATTACTTTTTAAATCTGTTTTAACACCTTTAGTACCAATGATAATTTTTTTGAAGTCATAAAAATTTTGTGCTTTTTTAAATTGTTTCGCTTTTTCATTGGTAAGCATCGTTGAAAAATGCCGTAGATAACGATGATATTCATCAAGACGTCTATGCTCTTGTTTATGACGTAACATTTTTAATTTTTGCTCTCTTTGAATTTGTACTTGTTGTACTAATTTGAAACGTTCCCATTCACGTATCAAATTGAATGCCTTTTTTTATAATAATAATAAAAAATAATAGTAAAGATTCTTTTTGTTTGGGTAGTGAATAAATTATGAAATAATAAGTGATTTCTAATAGTTATTGAATATTGGACCTACTTAAATTTGTTGCTAAGTTATTTAATAGCAGAATGATAATGTTCCTCATCAAAACTGAATAATCATTTTAGTATATGAATATTCTGATTAATGTTCTATTTCAAAAGATTTTTGTGACCCGAGACCTGACTCCATTTAGATCGTATGAATGATTATTTCCAAAATATACATCCTGATTATCTTCGTATATAATCATCATGTTAAATCACGTTAATGAATAACGGAATTAAAATAAGTCAAATACGAGAATGGATTTTGAATACGTATATTTTGTATAAACATTGATCGGAACAGACAATTAGAGAGACGTAGAGAAGAAAGTGAAGAGAAAAGAACGAAGCGAAAGGACGCACGGTGGAGAAGGCATGTGAGCCAACTTCATTTAATCAAGTGTCAATCGATATTTATAGTCGGATGGTAATAAGTTACAGACATGTGATGAATAAGATAAGAAACACACACATACGCCTACATAAAAAGTCAAGGTTGATAAGCGAATAATCAACAAGGTCAAAATGTGATTCAAGAAGAATGAATAAAATGGTCTGTCCGGAAGCGAGAATAAGTTGTGTTGGGCTTAACATAGCAACCGACATTACAGCATTATGAACTTTCTTCTTGTTGATTTACATCAACTTTAATCTGAATTTATGTTATTCATTTTTTATTATTACAATTTCCTTATTTGCTTCAACTTAACTAACTAATGTATACTAGTCTTTATTGTTTCCATCCCTTATTATCTGTAATTGTTTACTATGATTACAATACCATGAAATGGTATTCATTCATTTAATGAAGTTAGTTTTGTTTTTTCTTACTAATGTTCCTCCATATTTTAAAATAATCTATCAAAATAAACAAATGAAGAGAACAGTTAGTGTTACCGATTAGATTTTCTAGAATTTCTATGGTGAATAAATGTTTCCATACAAATCAATTGAATATCAGACTAAATTTAACAAAGCGTTTGCCTAATAGTTAAATGGTTTAAAACACTTTTTTGTCATATACTCTATGCTATCTACCTGTGTTTGGATAGACCTCACAAGAATTGAATAGTTTAAAGTCAAGTATACCGATCTGTACAATAGTGATGATTTTGATTTCTATTAATTGAATTTTAAATTAATATCTAACCACTGATAGAATCAAGTTTATTCGTTCTAGTTTGAAACTCTAAACAAAGCTATGTTGTTAGCAACAACAACAACAACAACAACGAAAAACTAGTCGATTCACTACATAAAGATAAATGAAACAATTGCTTACATGAAAAAAATGACAGAACAACTAAACAATATGATTTGTTTATTACTTGTCGAAAGTAATAAACACTTAATTAAGTAGTCGAGAAAGGTTTGTTATTCGTAAAAGATAGATTGGTTTTCTAATCACTAGCAATATTATATAGTTCATTTAAATTCATAGATCTCTTGATAAGACTGTCTCTACTTCCCTCATTTACGTCAACCTATATTTACAGATGTAGTTATTACCACAAATCGATATACATGCATCACTATTATCGTGATTAAATCTCAAATTTAATATCTTCCTCAATCAGTCAGTAGAAATGAAACAAATATTAACAGTGACATCAATTACTTCTCAACATTTTACAACTACATTTTATGGTGTAGGAGTAAGCTGGAAGAAAGCTAGGAACGGCCATACCAAATCATAGCATAAATTCTTGAATTCACTGAAAAGTGGACTGAGATATATTGATAGGTGTAGACTACCTGGTTAGGATCCACGAGATCTTGAATGACATGGCTTAAAATCGTTTACAATGGCGCAGGTGCATACACTCTTTGTGTTCTCCCAAATTCTAATCTTCTGAATTCTTCATATTCCCTTTTTTTCTCTTTCCAAATTTATTTCACCAGATTATACTCCTTGAATAACATCTTCAAACCCTAATCTTTCCCATTACTGCCTATCTTTTTACTATCTCTACCACTACGGGATTTGAAACAACAATTGTATCTCTATGTTAATGTGGTATGGCAACTTGAACTGATGTACGTACATACAAAGTTCTATGTTGTTACTGACTGACTGACGGACTGACAACTACATTTCTTGTTAAATATCATTTTTATTTGTAATGATATAACTTGATTACTGAAGAGGTTATAATGTAACAAATTCACTTGATGAAAAATACAAATTATAATATGAAATTTGCTTCATATCTTATTACCTTTAACATATCATACATAACAAGTAAGTACATGCATATTACTAATCTTATTTAAAAACGAATATCTTTTATTTTGTAAATTAGATTCTCATTATCATAAACTGACATCTGTTAGTAACATATTTCTCTTATGTCCAGACATTTTATTGATGTATACTAACTACTACCACCATAACATTGAATCTAGTATCTGGGGGAGTTTTCTTTTTTTTTTTAAAAAAAAATTCAATTATAATTTCATTCTACATTATTCAATTTAATAATAAAGTATGATCCTGTTTATTTTCTTAGTTCAGTTATAATTTCAAACAATTTGCCTAGTTTTGTCTATCAGACAAAATAAATACAAAAATTCCAAATACATAACCCATGTTTTTGTTATTTATCTTCTTCTTCTTCTTCTTCTCCTTATTATTATCATTAACATAAATCTCAATTTATTATCCTATTTAGAAGGTTGGATACACTTTTGTTTTGTATGTTTCTTCTAGTAGTGAATTCATTCTCTAATCAATTTTTTTTATTCAATTACCTAACCAATCAGTCTATTGAATGATCAATAACACTTTTATATTTCCTCCTATGCCTAGATTATCTTTTATCTTATCTGAATAGGTAGAATAATAAATTGGAGACAAAATTATCATATTGTATTTTATAATATCTCTCTAAAGGATAGAAACTAATCAAAGGCGTCTATAGACATATTGTTTATACTCTATACATATATATATATATATATGTACGTTTTGTAATCTACAAAGACCAACTACGTATATTGAATTATATCCGAATATTTTTAGAAAAATATAAAACAAAGTGGAAGTAACATTTTTTTTCTCTCTAATGTTAAGATACTTTTTTTTGTACTGGTTTGTGGATATCTGAGTCAGTTAGTTCATTATTTTCATAAATTTTATAATTAGCGGTTCAATCTTATACACTTGAATTGATGACTGATGAATTCACAAAATAAACTGATGGAATAATGACCATTTATTCTTTAGTGATCAGCTTCTGGATGGCTTCACCTATAATGTTAACTAGTGAATAATAATTTCATTTCTGAAGTATTATTCCTCAGAGTTATGATGACTAAAGCATCAGTGATGAGCGAACACGTATTATTTGGTTAGAATTTAGGATTAATAGAAACTAATACTGGTTAAAAATGTAACACATGAAAAAATGTACTCTAGTAATTTTATCTGTTTTATCTTTAGACCAGCATAATTGGCTGCGACGTAAACAATAAGTGTGTCTGATGATGACACTACCCGGTTACCCAAACAGATCTATGTGGTTCATGGCACAAACTTATCAATTAGTAACTGACAGTCAAACGCACAGATCGCTGATCCACCATTTCAGTTAAAATTGAGGTTATAAAACTAAAAACTAGGCAAGTGTTTCAACTTTATTCATGGTGTATATGTTCGAATCATCCAGGCTTTATATGATAACAAAAACGCTTAAAAAATAAAGACAATAAAATATAAAAGTGATTAACTTACCGTAATCAAATCTACTGAAGTTCGATTATATCGTACAAATTGAAATACAAAGTTAAAAATATCATTTTCAACATTGTATGCGATAAATGATTGACTTGTCAGCTTTCTAGGTCTTACTGATGTTCCAAATTTAGTTGACTTTTCTTTTCGTGAATTCTGTGATCCATAAGTTAATGGTAAGGATGATGTTGAAGATGATGACGATGTCAATGAGACATAATTATAAGGATCTTTCTTTCGATTCGCTACTAACGGTGAAAGAATATAATGTGCCACTGAAGGAACATGACGTTTTTCTCGTTCAAGTAGTTTACTGACATTAATAAATATAGATGGATCATTTGTAGTATCAGTATTAATGTGCAAATGCGAAACACTTCTATTCTGATAACTTACATTCCGTAATCTTTGTTCTGAACTCTGATGGTCTAATTTATGATTAATAACATTATTATTGTTATTCCGTTCAAGCTTTATTGTTTGCTAAATTTAAAACAAAGTAACACCATCCAATCACATGACTTGTACTTCATTTTAAATGAACAAATAATCGAATAAAAAGAATCTGCTTTAACAGGAAATTAATCAAACGAACTAGAAATTTAAAACAGTTAGTCCCTTTGATAAATTTCGATGATGTAATTAGAAGACGAACATTATCAGAACTATGTGATATACTAGCGCAATACATTTCGAACAATCTAATCACACATATACTTTGTAGAGAAAAAGCCTATCTACATCACCTTACCGTTCAGAGGTGATTCAAATGGCCTTCTATTGAAACAAAAACTTAAATCAGCCATCAATAAAACGTATTGCGCAGCAAAGGTCATCATCAAAGAAAGAACAAGGTGCATACTTCATTCAAAACCTAAAAGACACGAAAACGATTGTGTCACATCCAAATGTGTTTACCAATTTAAATGTGTGTGTGGTCACACATACATAGGGAGGAGCAATCGTGATCTCAACATTAGGGTGAGAGAACATGTACCCAAATGGCTTAAGAAACAAATACAATCAGGTGACCCAATAAGAGCAGAGGATAATCATCCTTTATTGCTAAACATATAATTGAAACAAGTCACAAGATTGATCTAAACTCAGCTTTTGTGGTATTGTATAAAAGTGTAAAAGGATGTATACTAAGATTTATTGAAGCCTTAGCCATACGAAATTTCAAACCCCCTTTGTGTGTTCAAAAACAGTTTGTTCTTACCTTAAACCTAACCTGGTAATATTGACTTATTAGCCAGAGTGATTAGGTTACGAATTGTGTTCACATTATTATTATTATTATTATTATTATTATTATTATTATTATTATCCTTATCTCCTCTTACGCCGTTTCCAGTCTAGTTGACCTTTTATTTTTATATATAAATGCTCTTAACAAGTATATGTGTGATCAGATTGTTCGAAATGTATTGTGATAGTATATCACATAGTTCTGATAATCTAATACATTATCGAAACTAGAAATTTCTAATTCCCAATATGGAAGTCATCATTGTAAAGTCAATCTAAATGATGCTATTTGACACTTAACATAACCTACTTCATCATTTACAGTTATGATAGGTTTATTAGTTTATTGACAAGTTATTTCAACAAAGTAGTCATGAATTTTCATTGAAGTCATATAACTTAAATGATACTTTTCGTGAAAGAAGAAAACTGCATACTACTAAAATACCGCCCAACACAAAAATGTAGTGTTTATCAGCAATTGATTTATGTGCCATAATTTTTGAAGAAATTCTGTTACTGATTAAATGTTAAGCTATACTTGGAGAATTGACGACAAATTCATAATAAACGATTTGTTTACTAACTATGATTATTTGGTAAATCAAACAAGCTAGGGCTTTGTAAGAAGAGATGGATGATAGCTTGCAGTGGAATTCAGGAAGTACGTTTCATCTGATTCCGGACTCGACAGCCAAATATATATGCATCCCAGAGTCAAGTTACAATCCACACAACATGTACATGTGCCAAAAGGACTGATCAATTCCAGTCCTAAGCATAAATGATTTAAACATACAAAGTAAACAAATTAAACTAGGGCTTATTTAATGTTATTACATGATACATAAAACACGATTATCCACTTACTACGACTTCTTGCTTTTTAAATAATTTACTCTTAAAATTTCGCAATTGTATTACTTTCACAGGAGTTGATATTGATTGGTACTGTTAATACATGTAATTCGCTGTTATTTAATTGGTGATACTAGGTTATACTTTACATTACTTGTTTAATTCTTATGGATTGTCATTTTAATTGAGTAAACTTCCATGTACTAAATGAACCATACCCAAAGAACAGTTTATTTACGTGTTCAGTGAAAGTACCTGATCTCAATGATGTAATGGAAGTAATCCTAGAAAGGCAATAATAATTGGACGTAATAAATAATTATCAAGCAGTTCCAGTTTAATATTTTTACACTACATAACACTGAATATAAGTTTGTACTACATAGGTACTTGACAGGAGAAAAGGGTAACTAAAATCAATTATTAGTTCAGATAGGTTTCTGAACTCATTTAATAACCATTAATTTAGTGCATGTCTGTAATATTTTAAATAATTCGATTGTATATTTAACATGTCCAAAATATAATTCTGAAAAGATAGAAAAATTAAATCGATGAGAAATGTAAGACAGGCAATAGTAGTAATACGGTGAAAAATAGTGTTATCATATTACCCTAAAGATTAAGATGAAAATCAATATTATCAAGGTAAGGATAATATAACAATAAACTGTTTCTAAATGCATGGGGAAGGATTAAATGTTTCCGTTACCAGGGTATCAATAAATCTGGATATTATTCTATAATCACTTCCCTTCGATATTTTCAACATAAAATAACTTTAAATTCACTTGCTTATACGGTTATTTAGGGAGATTTTTTAACTGTCCTCAACTATATTTTACACTTCATCATCATGGTAGATGTTATTATCGACACAGAAGTTATTGTGTAACAACCAGTCATATACTCTCTAGTTTATGCTCAAAATGGAGATTCAGTATTCACATTAGTAATGACATCGCAAATACATCGGGTTTTGTGAATCACCTAGTTAATCATATATTTGGAAGTAAGACTACATGCTTCACACATGAATGTCATGATCATCGACATATCATTGTGAGGAACCGAATACAATTATTCAGAAATAAAAGTAATTTTAATTACATATTAATATCAACTAGAGAGATAAAGAAAGTACAACATTTTATTATGTCTTCAGACTCTTCAGAAATGCTAAACCTCGACTTCATTCTGGGTCCTGAGCTGAGTACGATTTCCATTCAACTACCAAATGAAAATTTAAAGTTAAATTACATGCTTTCAGCTAATTGGTTCCATAGAATAAACATTATTCAATATCACCGATGTTTCATTCTAAATCATTCAAAAATTCCGTTAATGTATCTTGAAACTAATTACAAATGGACCTACAATTATAACTGAGTTGATCACTTTGTAAAGATTATCATATTAAAGAGTTTATATAGTAGTAAATACAATAATTCATAATCCTACATAAGTGAATAATATCACACATTTTCAAAGTTCAATTAGAGTTTGATAGTGATATTTGTTTCATTGTAACAGATAACCATTAAATGTTCTCCAAATTTAGTGCTTTGATGTATTCTTGAAATGTTTACTGTCGGTTACTAAGGCTACTTAACAACTAAAGCTGATTTATTATCAATAGTTTGTAGTTTCCCGTTATCAATATTCAGAATTGCAATCTATCAATATCTACTCGCATGTATGTCTGTTTTATTAAAGAAATATACAAAAATATACGTTACATGTGACTTAATTTCTACAATTACATTCAGTTGTTTATAAAAAAAAGGTAAGTCAAATGATAAAATATCAGTCAGTTAAGTGTTCAAAAGAACATGAAATAAATTTTTTTATGGAAGAAAAAAACAATCTGGAATAACACTAATATTCTACTATTATTCTGAATGTATAAATAGTAGATCGATTGAAATGACAGTAAATCTAAAGTGTTTAATACATTTGTTAGTCACTCCGATATACTACACATTATGAAATAGGGGTAATTTGAATAAATTCTGGGTCGAATCGTTTAAATGTCAACTGTATCAAAGTAAAGTGACACGTATTTGTATCATATCCTACTGTAGTGAATGGGAACAAAAGTAAGGACAATAGAATGTATTTGAATATAAAATTACAGAGCATCTTAGTAAAATCTGTGAACAATACAGTAAATACTTCATTTGCAAAATGTTAATCAATCGTCTCAGACTTCATTAACCTTTCGTTTTCATACCAGTCATTCTTTGTTCTCGCTCTCTTTTATTTGATCTTCTTAACCGTCTGCCTTCAGGCATTTCGATTTCGATTGATGATATATACTACTTATATCTGTCGACATCAGTAGCACATACCACACTACCTTGTTTGAAAATAACTAAGAATCACTTTGTAGTTATGTGCTAATAAATGTTCCTGAATAAAAATATTCTGTTTGATAATGTTAACAGCATCTGAGTAGAATCATATGACTATTTGTTTTAACATATCATTCATCCAGAGAAGTATCCTGATTTCGATTTGCGATTAAAAAAAAATAATTTCACATTGAATGATGATCTATTGGTTACAAGTTAAAATCCCTTCAGTTTAAGCAGTTAAACCAACAACAAAAAAGATAAGACAATGAGACTATAATTTATGGATGACTTTTGAACAACGTTAAAATGACCTTGAAAACGTCCATCTCCAGTTCAACAAAGGTCATAGATTATGTAAGAAATTAAGATTCAAATTTATAGTTGAAAATTAAAATAAGAAATCAGACATAATGGTTTCATCATGAACTAACATAATCTATAATACTGTAATAATATTTAATCAAATAAATGAATAAATTTCGTGCCAAAATTCTATGATCTACTATCTTAAATATAATTGATTCATTCATAAATTATAGTTTCACTGATAAAATATATTTTTATTATATAAACTAAATAACACGTTCTCTATGGATAAACCATTGTGACTTACCGTGATATTTATATTCCCTATTTCTTTATTATTATTATGATTTGTTTTATATATTTTTTTCATTGATCTCTTTTTAAACCAATCAAATGTTTTAGAATTTTCTAGAATATTTTGTTCCATTGGTAATTGAATGATTTTTGATTTTTTCACAATTTCTGTTGCATAATATTCATTATTATCATTATTATTGATTAATTGTTTATTAGTTTTCCATTTAATAGTTGGTTCATATTTTAATATATTTTGTCCATTTATATTAGAGATATAAAATTGAATAATGAGCACAAATAGATATAGATATAGAAACATTGAATATTGTTGAATTTGTTTAAATTTATTAATGAAACAATGAAATAAAACTTCTTTCATAAACATTGATTGAATGAATATAAATTTGTGTTTTAGTTTGTTTTGGTTTGTTTTGTTTTGTATTATTAAAATAACATTAAAATGGAATGTACAGGTAAAAAAAAAAGAGTAAATGTTGATGAACTTTATTGATAAGTAAAATAAAATGACTTTTTGTTTTGCTGTTTTTTCTTTTTTCTGATTGACTTTTAAAATCAAATGTACTATAAGGGAGTAGTCATAGAAACAATGTGTAAATATAATATAGTTGCTAGTGAATTTTGTGTTAAGATTAAACAATATGGCAAAAGATTAGACAATAAATAAATAAATAAAATTAAACTGTAAATATTTTTAACCAATCAATGTAGTTTATTAATTGACCAATCAAATAAGTATGTGAATTATATTTGTACAAACTATGAATGGATGTTTGGAATTTATATTCATTTATGACTTTTCATATAGTCTGATGAGAAAATTTAATGGGAAATATAAGTAAAGATGAATAGTGGTTAGCAGTGAATGAAGGCAATGTCGAGGTGATACACACAGAATGCACATATGTCTATAAGAGACTGATCAATTACAGTGCTAAACATCAATGGGAGGATTTAAGTAAAAAACATTAACAAGTGAATTTAAACTTCATCCTATTTGACAACCAAGTGGCTACCAGGACTCAGTAGCTAAGTGGATAACACAATGATGTTTGAACCGAAAGGTATTGGGTTCAAGTCCCAGAGTAAACAACAATTCTGGGATGAAGGTACATCCAAGTGACGTGTCTCAAATAGGACGAAACGCGCATCCTGGATTCCACTGCTTGCCAGTATCCATCTTTACTTATAATGCTTGTGAATTAGAGAAATTAACGAGGCAATACGCACAGTATGCACATATGCCAATAAAAGACTGATTAATTGCAGTGATAAACATTAATGGGAAGTGATATGACGGGAAGAAAAATTAAAATTCGATTGATTTACTCATTTAGAGTTTTGTTCAACATTATTTCCGTTTTAATTCAATGTAATGATTACTCAATGTAGTATTTGTTTCTGTTCTCCAGTGTGATCTTTTATTCTGTGTATAACATACATTATTCTTGTATTAAATTAACATGAACTACACTCAGTCAGTGATTTGTTATAACTGTAAGTACTTTCATATATGTGATTCCATTCTGATTATTAATGAAAAATGGGTATACGAATCAATATATAAATGAGTGTATTTTTGATTAGGGTGATGGTCGTAGTGCTTTGTGGTTTAATAAATCTTCACTGTTACCAGTCTTTGTGTTCTTATTTTCGCATGGTAGGAATTGCAGAGATCCTTCGTTTCAATTATAAGTGATAAGCGTTTCCGACATAACAATCAGCGATGACCAGATATAACAAGTAGTGTTCAATCGATAAGAATATCTGGATGATTTAAGTAAAACAATACCAAGTGAGTTTAAATTGAAATATGTTTGTATATTTGAAGAGATTTTGTGGAGATTTGTGAATCGTTTTTGTTCACTGATTAATTGCAGTTGAAATATTATTAAAAGCTGGGGACGGCTGTTTCATTTTAGTATGGGTTTCTTCAGAAGTGCTTATCCACTACTCTTCTAGAGATCAAAGTTTGGACATTGTAATTGTATATATATATATATATATATATATATATATATATATATATATATATATATATATATATATATATATAATTATACTGGAAACTTAGTGCTTCAGTTTGTTTATTTTAGGAATTTAAGGATTATTTGAATGGATTACTTCTATTTATGATTTCTGCAAAGTTGATTTTTACTCACTACCCAAAATCAGTCTAAAGGCTACATTGCATATTGGTTGTTCACTGACGTCATATCGTAAACGTACGTGGTAAGTATTTTAAGGTATCTACATGAAAACACTTAATCTAAGTCCACTGTTAGTAAACAACCTACAAGAAGGTATTTGTACAGTACTAAGAAGACTGACGTTCTCTATAGGTTTTGAACTTATGTAACATATCGTTACTGCCAAAGATATTACAATTAATCTATGTCATAAATGCTCTTTTAAATGGTCAAAATCCTTATACACTAATAGATAATTTATTGATAATCAGTGTCATGTTGTTTATTCCTTAATGCTGATTGAATTCTAACGATCAAGTTATAGTAAGGTTACCAATCGATATGGCAATGCACTTTGTGGCATCTAATCGACAAATCTTACTAATATAAAGATTTTTTATTCGGCAAGGTATTTTCGTATGCTACTGATCTAGATAATAAATAAATGACGAGGGTCGAAACATTCCATTTTACTAATATGACCTTCTGACCTTATTCGAGATTTGCCTATATTAATCAAAATAAAAGGTGATTCACAGTATTCTGTTTTAACTATTCAAACAAGTTAAGATTATAAGCAGAGGGAAGGAGATAATAACTATTTATTGGATCGGATGAGGAGGAAATAATCATTACCACTAATATATATATATACAATACAATATACTATATATATATATATATATATATATATATATATATATATATATATATATATATATATATATATATATATATATATATATAGAGAGAGAGAGAGAGAGAGAGAGAATAAATATCCACTCTGAAGAAGTCGCCTACATTAAGTCACGAAACGTCAGAAATGCAATTTCTTTTTACTCATTGAAATATAACAAAAATATATTTATTATTACTAAAAACTTTGTTGAACATATTGAAAATGAAACCATTGTATTTGGCTATTTAAACTTAATATCACACTGAATATTTTATATTAGGTTTATTTTTGTATTTTTTTGAAGCTTTCAAAATTCCAAAGTTATTTGTACCCATTGGAATAGATATCGATCTGTGTTCTGGAATAATTTCATTCAATTTAGCCGTATCATTGCTTTTATAGTAATAATAATAATAATAATATAGAATAGTACTGAATAATACTAGAAAATTTGAAGTAAATGAAATTGTCAAAAGGAAGATTTTCGTTTTTGAACTGTCTTTATTATTATTCTTCAGTGATACGATAGATCTTTTTCATGAATTCTGGTTATATTTTCATGCTTATTTGACATTGATAATGTTAGATGGTACTTACTTCCAAGAATCAGCGGATGATTTTTTATAATAATGGTAAAAGTTCTTGTAACTTGATCATCAGGGTCAATTATTTCAGTTTTATTCTGATAATGATGGAATCATGAGTCTATCTAGGTTAGATAACAATTGAAAACCTGGAAGCACTGGATAGCCTCTTTGTCCGAGTATTGGACTTCTGAGAAATATGTATCCACGACCCCACACGCTGAGACCGAACCCAAAACCCTATGTCTTGCATATGAACGCTTGTTATGCGCTCACTAGTAACTAACTTTTAGAGAAAAGTTTTGGAGTTTTAGTAGGAATCTGTAACAACTGGAGTTAATTTGTGTAGGGTGTCGAGCAGTTATCCATTAAGGACAATGGAAGATGATTACTCAATACTATAGATTGATTGAGATTAGATATTAACACCATTAGACACCAGCCCAGTAGTCTAGAGACTAGACGTTCACTTCCAAGATTGAAGGTTCTGGATTCGATTTCCGCGTGCAAAGTCAACGATGAACATTGGTGCGGAGTCTCATGCTAGAATAAAACAGTACTCTGGTGCTTCTTATTTCCCGATAGTTGCCGAAATCATATCGGTTTATAATTTTAACTCAATCCAACAATATTCACAACCCCATACTGAAAATTTTTATATCAAGTGGTTAGTCCTTCTTTTAAATGTTTTTAAAACTCCACAATTACGTTTATTAGCTATCGCTAGTTTTTAATTTATTAAATTACATTTTATTGCGTACTTACTTGAAAATAATAACTGTTGAGTAATCTAATTCTAGCTGATTTCAATGATCTAACTAAAAATTACTTCATAAATCATTTAATTATCAAACACAACTTTAACTTGGTAAATTGTCTCAATTTTCTTTAATTCACTTATACTACTAGGATTGATTGAAATGAGATTTATTCATTGATACTTTACTTCGAAATGGTTAAATAATTTTAATAAGTCTTGTTAATTTGAACTCTTTATTCGGTTCCTAAGCTATTCTGGTAACCGGCAAGCCAAATCTACGCAGCGGCCTGAACTCGACAGTAAAGGCACAAAGTAAGCGAAAAAACACTTTACTCCAGTGGTTCATTTTTGTAGAGAAAAACACAGGTTATCAGAAGGGGTTTGTGGAGAGTTTTAGAAATTTTCACAGATTGAAATCATGAGTCAATTGAAGCTAGACCACTATGGATTCGCACTGCTGAGGAGTCCCATACTAGGACGAAACGGCCGTCCAGTGCTTCTAGGTTTTCAATGGTGATCTGAGACCAAGTCAAAGGTGCTATAGATCTATTATCTAGGGTGTTTTATTGAATATATAGCATCATTAGATCACTTGGACTCATTACACTGAGTGTGAAAGCAAACTGAACGATGAAAAGCCGGAAATCCGCTATCAATGTGTTGTGTATGTTTGTTGTTTTGGCCATAAAATGAAGTCAGAGGACCATGGTCAGAAAGTGAAAGGATAAATAACTGCTATTATGTTCTTTTCTTTTAGATCAGAGTTTACCGGTTGCCAAGCCATGTTTCTCTTGTGGTGTGTTTTCAACCGGTACATAGTGGCTTCACCTAAGATGATCCACAACTATCCTTGCGATAAACAGTATCTGACAAATGATGAGTGCTTCAGGAGATTAACTAATGATCATTTGCAACTTTTTATACCAACAACTGGCAGTGGTCCTGAGCAGATTATTAAATATGTCGAAAAGAATTTTGGAAAGACCATTATCCTTCACTATGTCAACAATTAAAAAAAAATAATGTTATCAAACGTATGTTTTTCCTATGGATCTGTAGATTGTTAAGTATTGGGAGTTTCAGCTATGTGTTTTCAACCTTACGTAGTGGTGAAAATGTGTTTGTATGCTATGGTGGGGGATGCCAACTAAGTTCCGAGAACAGCATTCAGTACTTATGAGCAAACTGAAATGTATAAGTGTTTTCTTGAAGTAATTTGTATCGATCCAACATACAACACTAACAGAGAAAAGTAAATGAAAGTGTTCTGTTTGTCAAATGCCATTATTTATAAACTGTTTTATTTATTACAGATAAATGTGGGCGCCGAACCCCGGCCTTGATGAATGGGAAAAAGAAGGAACTCGTGTTATGGATCATGGATCAGTTCAAACTAATCATGACGAACACTAGTAATACAGAAACGTTTGT